CTCTCGGTTCGTCTTGTTGCCGGTGTGGGCAAGTATCTTGACCGCTGTGAAGTTGAACTCATGGCCAGTGTCAGGTGTGAGCAGCAACTTGCGATAATTTGTCGTTCCGTCGTACCGCCAATCTACGTTCCTGTATGCGCCATACGAGCAGGCGTTCAGTTTGACCTGTGTAATTGCAAGGACAGCTTAAACATGGGATGCGATACATTGTTCCAGATTGCTCTTTGGGATTGAGCCTTTCTTTGATTTTGATCACCCTGCTGCGCATGGCGCCTTTGGGCCTGTGTGCAATTCCAACATCTGCTCTGACAGCTGCGAGTGAGTTTTAAAGAGCCTTCTCACGTAGGTTCGTTTGTGATCAATCAGATGGTTGCCGTGAGAACCGAGGAGTTGTGTTGTTTTAGTTGCCTTCCGGTAAACCTTCGTCTCATGTTCACCCTTGAGCGTTCTCTTGATGAGGAAATCAAGGAAAGGCAACCGCTCTTTTTGTTCTTCTTTCCTCGGGAATTTTATGTGTGGAACTTTTGCAGCATGCTCTTCTAGATGAGAACAAACGTGTCGTCAACGTAGCGACGCCATTTTGACGATTGGTGAACATCCCCGTGTACCATCGTTATCATATCCGATTGCAACCGACTGAAGATTGCAACCCTAACTTACTGGTTAGGGCGTTGGAATTTTAACCAGATGCTCGAACCTCAGGAGTTTCGAAACCGAGTTTTGTCTTTACAACTGGCATGAAGTAGGGCGAGGATATTGTTAGTCGTTTCACCTTCCGTCAGATAGCAGTGTTCAGACCCTTGCGGTCATGATCAACGTCCTTACAGGGATCATATCTGCAGTGTGTCCTTCGGGGAAATCTTCCCACATATGACCACCTGGACGAGCTTCGGAGACTTCATTAAAAAGTTACCGCTTTTCCAGAATGAAAGTCTGTGATCAGTGGACTCTTGAGCGCAAAAGTTTTTCTGATGGAGGGGGACTATCATCCGCCCTTCTTATAATTATGAGTTGAAAGAACGTTGAAAACGGTCCCTGGGGGATGGTATTAAGGGGCATATACTGGTAGTTTAGGTATACCACTAGTAAAATCATTGTTATTTTCACATGTGGGCCGTTTTGGTTCAGCTAACATAATTTTAGGCATTTTTCTATGGCTACTAATTATCTAGTGTGACCTGGTTACTGTTGTGGTCAAGAATGAGCGGTCTACTGTAACCAGAAGCGCTAAGATTGTTTCGTCTAATGAAGAAAGTCAATCACCTGCCGTACTTTCCCCACTATAGGGCGCACTATGAATGTATGGTCTGTTTTCGAGCTTTATTCTTCTACAAAGTGCACTTGCCTATGAAGCGCATTAAAGGAAAGAAGTTCACTTCAGTTTTATTAGGGAAATATAGGTAAATACCTTTGAACTCCCT